AATAATTCCGATTCTTTGAGTGGCATACGTAAGAAAAATTGCTATTTTGTTTTCATAACTGGTGTAGGTGAAATATAAATACTTATGTTCTAAAAAATTGCCTTGTTTGGCAAAAAGCGGCTTGTGTACTTGTGTTAAATACTCCTTTATTTGATCAACTTTGCCAGTCTAATTCTTCATGTAGGTTACTTCCTGCGTCAGATTTTGCAGATTCATTTATAATGGGGTTTTAATATGTGTTGATTTAAAGCACAATTTTGTGGTACAGCTTTTATTGGAGAACAAAAGAAATAGCTGTTCCCAAAACACAAAATCACAGAATATTCCACATTGGAAGGAACCCACAAAGATCAGGTCCAACCCTTAGCAGACTATCCCCAAGACTCACACCATGTGCCTGACAGTATCATCCAAACGCTTCTTGAACTCTATCAGACTTGGTGCTGTGGCCACTTCCCTGGGGAGCCTGTTCTAGTGCCCAGCTACCCTCTGGGTGAAGAACCTCTTTCTAATATCCAGCCTAAACATCCCTTGACACAACTTCAGGCCATTTCAGGGTGGTTGACAGTGAGCAGCATCAGAAGAGATGTCAAGTATCACCTTGATTGTATTCCAGGTTAGGCTTATGAATCTTTTCTTTTGCTTCATGCCTTGCTAAAGTTTTAATAGTAGATGCAAAAATGTTACCTAGTTAGCTGAGTTTCAGCATGATTTACTTAGAGTAGTTTCAGGTGCTATCCATATTTAGAAGTAGGGACAAAGAAAATTTTGACAACTGAGATTCAAAACATACAAATATAGGCCAAGTTACAGAAGTATGGAAACAAACTTTTTAACAAGGCCTGTTGTGATAGAACAATGGGTAATGGTTTTAAACTGAAAGAGGATAGATTTAAATATAAGGAAGAAGTTTTTTACAGTGAGGGTGCTGAAACACTGTAACAGTATTTCTGTTGAGAAAGGTGGTGGATGCCGCATCCCTGGAAACATTCAAGGTCAGTCAGGGCAAGGCTCGGAGCATCCGGATCTAGCTGATGATGTCCCTGCCCATGACTAGATGACCTGTGTATGTGTGCCATGCACAGGTATGTTCCTGCTGATATGGTTGAAGTGGTTTAAGATGTTACTGCCCAGAGGTTGATGATGTTAAGTTACCCCTTCTGTAGCTGAGAAGCAGGAGCAACACTTGTTGCTAGGTGGATTTTTTGAGAGAAGTAAAGATTGGCTTGTTTGAATTGGCACTGGAAGGACTACAAGTGTTGCCATTAGCTCAGTTTCATTTGCACTGTGGAGGTTAAGGGAGCGCATATCTTACTGCACTGTTAGACTTTGCAGTCTGGGTTTTTTTCAGAGAATGATAATGATAGTGAATAGGTTTTTATTTTTTTTTTCTTACTACATTTCCTCTGAAACAGCAATGAGGCTAGTTTTGAATGCTGGCATATGCAAAAAGAATCACTGAGCTTTCTTTCCAAAAAGTTGTTGAAAAGTATTTATTTGCTCTGTGCTGAACTGCCTTTCAGAAGAGATGTTTAAAAAAATGAGAATCTTCAGCAATAGGCTTAGTTTTATTTTTCAGGGATATATTTAATAAGTATGGCAGCATTTCATGAGTAGGCTTTTTATATGAAACTACATGATGTACAGATGTTACCGGATATGCAAATTGGGGTTTAGTTTTTATTTTTTATGAGGAGGTGGTAAAGAAGAACAGGAATCTTCAAAATTCTCTTTCTGCAGAGTTAGTGTAATGTATTTTATCTTTTGAGACTTGTTTTTTGTGTTTAAATCTTGTTTGTGCTAGCAAAGCACATAAAACGTATTTCTTCCCTGGTCACAAAAGTGTAGAAAACCTCTGACCAGGCTAGTATTTTAACAGTCTTTGTAAAAAAATTCTTGGGAAAATCAGAGAGTTACTAAATTGAGTTTTATGTATTAAATGCTCTCATGTTAGGCATTCTAAATTTATGTAAAGTAGATGCAGCTTCCTTGCAAGTATTGTAAATGTAGACCAGCTAATAATGAAGAAATTTTGGTTTCTAGCTGATCTTGAGTTTATGGAGCTTTGCTTCATCTTGAAAAAGAAAAAAGGTAGTGATATTTGATACAGAAACAATGGAAGGAAAGGATGTGAGAGTACTGTCAGATGGTGTAATGTTTGTTCTGAATCCTGCAGTCAGAATAGTTTTAGTTTTCTCCTGTGTCCATACAAAATTCTTTTGGCGTTCATTTAGTTCTGCAGAAGTTCAAGGAGCTCCTTTTCATGTGCATTTGATTGCAGGACTAATGTTGTGAATCAGCATGGTATCTTAGTGAAATGCAGCTATATTGGAGAAAAAAACTCTAGATCAACCAGGCATACAATTTGATGTGAGTTCTTAACTATTAACTAGTGGTGGTTTTTTTAATTTGATTATACCGATAATCAAGCTTTAATGTAACTGATCCCTTGGTCAATTCAGTATCACTGATGTACATGTTTTGGTTCTCCCGTAGAGGCTTACAGCTAATCCAGGAAGTAAACAACGTAGCAGACTGTCCATTATGGCTCAGCATCTCTGCAGTGTTGAAAACTGTTTCATAATTCCAGGTGAAGCTTTTGTTCCAAAGCCAGAGGTAGGTTTTGCTGTATTTATATGGGGGTTTTTTGTTAATTTGTCAGTCAAGCAAATTATCTCCTTTTGAGTAAGGAACACAGTTGGCTGCTCTATTTCAACATCTCCACGCTATGAAGTGGAGTGATGTGAAATTCCTGTAAACCAAGTGTGCTTACTCTTAAGAAGTTGCTTTTCTTTTTGGTTCCTCAGAATTTGTCTTTGACCTTCAAACCTGTCTGCAAGATCAGCATACTTCTTTGGGTGATTGTGGAGAGGGAGATTAGGATTTAATGGCAGGATAGTCTGCTACTATTGTAGCATTTTTAGAAAGCCTGCTGTTTTACATTTTGCATTTATAAACAGTTTGGGAATTGTACCTAGAGAATTTGATGGTTCTTTTGAAAGACTGCTTTCAATTTGTCATCTTTGTCAAAGATCTCTAATTTTACCATGTTTATAAATCTTTGTTTCACCGTAGTCATCTTTAGCATATTATACTCCTTCCTGATTGCTGTAGCACTTTGTCACCTATTCCCCTTTGCCTGTTTAAAAAAGTAACCATCTTCTCTACTTCCTATCTGTGAGGCAGAGTGAGTAGAGAACAGTCTCTTTGTTGTCCTCTTATCTACTGTCACTGGTTTTTATTAATAGACATATGATTACAGGGATCAAAAATTAATAAATTAGTCTTATATTGGACAAGAATGTTTTTTTTGTTTGGTTTGGGGTTTTTTTTGTAAAAATTTGTGCCTGACATTAAGTGAGGTCTGTTTCCCCTGAATGCATGTGGAAATCATAGGATCATAGAAATATTTGGTTGGAAGGGACCTTTGAAGGTCATCTACTCCCATCCCCATGCAATGAGTAGGAGCATCTTCAACTAGATCAGGTTTCTCAGAGCTCAGTCCAATCTGACCTTGAATGTTTCCAGGGATGGGGCAACCACCATCTGCCTGGGCAATATGTTTCAGTATTTTACCGCCCTCATTGTAAAAATTTTCTTCCTTATATCTAATTTAAATCAACTCTCTTTTATGTCTTGTCAAACTGCTGTTCTGTTTCAGAAATGAACTTGCAGCTTCTTAAAGTCCCTCTTAAACTGGTTGATTCAGCTCTTCATTACATCTCCATTTCATCTTATTGCAGTCTCTCTCAAGAGATTTTCAGGCATGTCTCTTGAGAACCTTTGGAAGGTTATTCTCTCTCATTTATCACAAAATTCCAGTTTTGTGGTGGTGGTTTCTCAATGGCAGATGCAATTTGAGTATTAGTAGTGCTAGTGTAGTCACAAGTTTTGTGCAGCCTGTGTCTCAGAATTGGGAAGCTGTAACTGATATTCCCATTTTCCTGTACTGAAAAGGCCATAGTTGACCAAGAGAGAGGTAACTTACAAAGTTGTGACAAACATCTTAGTTTAAGGACATCCTACAGTTAGTTGGTACTCTGTTGAATAAAAAAAGCAGTACCACTAAATGCAAGCATTTTTTTATTTAACATATTTCTTTGAGTTAAAACAAGAATTGCTTATACTGCAAATACAGAAAGTACAATTTTTTCAGACAGAACTGGCACCTGTTTTCACTATATTTTGTTTCCTTCAAAGTCCTGTTGTAGATTGATTTTCTCAGTACATCTTCTCATAGAACCTGTTTCCTTGGAAAGGTCCTTCAGCATGTTGTGAATGAAGGGCTCAGTGCTTGATTTTTTGTTTCATAGCTATACAAAGTTCAGGTACTTGTATATAAAGTTTCAGGAAGAAAAATTTCTAGTGCATGTAACCGATGAATACTTCATTTTGCTCATAGGATGCAATTATTACCCTCCTGTAAATTGATGCCTTTTGGTTATAATTTTACAGATGTTAATTTTAATTAACCTACATAACAATGATCACATCTAAGTGTCATGTCAAACCCCTTATTAAAGATGGAGATGCATGTTTGTGAGAATGAGTTGTTTACCTCAATTCTCACAATGTATAAATATTATTTCAACAATACTATGAATGTTGAGACATAAAAGACTTGGTTTATGGAATGGAACGGTGCTCTACGACACTGTGTCTAAGAAAAGAAAATTTGGCTTTTTGGTCATAGTTAAGACTCTGCAATACCAAATAACTGGTGATAGTAATATTAGGAATAGTACAAAACAAACTCCTTGATTAATACATAGGAAACTCAAAATGGCTGTAACAGTAGTAAAAAAAGCAGATGTAATGCCATTTTATGTATGAAGAATGAAGACTCTCTGTGAATAGATTCTTTACATGTTAAACTCATAAAACAGTCTACTTTCCAAAATGCTAGAGCAGAAGATCTTACTTCTTCCAACTTAATGAACATATAATGTTTAGGCTCCTTCATACTGCTTTAACAAATTTCAGGCTAGTAACATGGGAAATGAAAGTTGTGTATAAATACGCAGAATAAATAGCAGTTGGTTTTATTGAAAGACTCATCCAGTGTTACCATATTCCTAAATTTAAAGGCCTGAATCATACCCCTTTTCATTCATCAATATGGTTGTTGTTTAGGGAAGTATTTAGATACAACATACCTTGCCAGTGACCAATACAAAACAAAATCTGTGTGGTGAAAGAAAAGGTTAAGGGATTTAAGATAATTATTCAAAATAAGGGAGTTAAGAAAATAAATAAAGGAGCTGTCTCTTTATGATTGTTGTATGCTACATTTTACAGTAAGAGAATACATGGGAGTGGGCCTGAAAGAGACCCTACAGGGGTTTATATGCTGTTTGTTACAATTTGCAGGTGTTTTCAGAGTTATGGTTACATTTCTGTTGTTGTATTGCTCATCCTCTAACATTCATTGTGCAGTGATAGATTAGTAGCAATTGGTGAATGTCCAGCAGACATTTCTTAACAATAATCAATGAAACCCACAGCAGGTGGCAGTTTGGGGTGCGAGAGCTGTGTTTGGCAAGATCTAAATGGTGCTGCTGATTCTTCAGTCTGATATGCATATATCAGTATACAGTATACAGTGCAGCTAAGGTTTGGAGCCATGGGCTTTTGTTGTGGTTTTTTTTTATTTGTTGGGGTTTTTTGTGGTGGTGTTTGTTTGTTTGTTTGTTATGAAATCTAGTTACCGAGGCAATTTACAGTTGAAAATGAAAGGCAGATGTGTCTGCTTTTTAAAAACCATTGAATTGGGCTTCTTGGACAAATAATGTTTGAGCTTCTTTTCCTTGCATCATAACTTAAGATAGAGATAAAAATGTAAAATACACTGTAAAATGTTACATTATTGAAAGCCTGATTCGCTAAATAGAAAGCAGTCTTTAATCATCTTTCCTATAACAAGACATCGGTACCTTAATTGTACAGTCAGTTATGTTTAAAAATAGTTCCTTTTTCTTCAGTAAATGCTACGTGGAAAGTCAGCATGGTTTGGAAAATCAGCAAAATAAAGTACTTTTGTAGCAGACAAGTATCATTTTCTACTTCTTTCCTTTTTGTGGATGCCCCTATGAATTAAGTACCTTGCATAAACATAACTGCAACCCAGATATAGGAAAAGTTAAGTGCTTGGTTATACATTCTTTGAAATAATCAAACTACTCTTAGCACATAAAAAACCCCTTGAATGGATAGAAGTAACTATTTACACATAGTCCTTCAGATTGTAACCTTCATTGCTCTCCTGCTCTGTGGATGGGAAATGGTGCTGCTTTGGAGGGTAAATCCATCCTCCTTGCTGCTTGTTAAAACACGAAGTGCAGAAAATCACACCTGCGATAAGCAGAAAGCCTGCTGAAATGAATCCTGTATAAACTGCTCCTCCTGGCTCGTGTTTACTGCTCTCTGGAATGGTCTGGTCCAGAAAATTTGAAATAATTTCTCTTGTGTACCAGGATGTTGGTACTAATCCAGAGATTCCTGCAAGAATGAAGCAGATTCCTCCAGCAAAACAAGCGTGACTTTTGCTGTCACTGTCCCCTCCCAACTTTGTGCATTTCATTCCAACTGTAGTGATGCAGATCCCAAATGCTGATAGGATACAAGACAGTACCATGGTGGTCCGTGCAGCCTGGATGTAGACGGGGAGAGAGAGAATGGAGTATTTCAGGGTACAGCTAAACATCCCAGTGCTGTACCATGTGCAGTCCATCCAAAGTCCTTGCATCTGTGTTATAGCTGTTATGATATTTGAGCCAACATCTGCATTTACCTTCCAGTTTGGTAGCAGGGTGGCCGCGATATCTCCAAAAACACCAAACAAAGCCAGAATAAAAGCAAAGAACTGCAGACTTGCTGATGCCATGATGATTATCTGCTGTCACCTTTTGTCTGTCCTTTCTCTCGAGAAAATGAGTGCCAAGCTGTAGCCCTCTGTGTAATAGGGAAGGGGGGGGAGGAGAAGTTCGAGGGGGAAAAGGAAAAGAAATCAGCAAACAAAAAGCACTTGCCTTTAAAATCAGAGCTATCTGAATGAATATCTGAACGCGACCCTGCAGCAGCTCAGCAGCTGTACACAAGGTACTTGAACAGAAATGATGGCAAATGGACAGTGTTTTAGAATTGCTTGTAAAAAGGAGCTGCTGCCCTTTCATACATGATTGCAAGCCATCAAGCAAAACTTATTTTACTGCAGTTGGTTTTGGTAATAGCAGACAGATTGCAGGCTTACTAGATAAATATGCATTGTAAGGGGAACATTAGGAACTTGCAGATTAGAAGTCATTGTGGTAGAAAAACACTGGTAGAAAATATATTATATTCTTCAAGTACCTTATTTGTGTTGATGGCTGTTGTCAGCTCCTGACTATTGACTATTTTATAGTAATGTATAGTATTATACTCTCTCTTGTGTAAACTGTGGTTAAAGGTAACCCTTTGTTCCTGTTACTTAAATATTACCTGTTCAGCTTTTTAATAACTGTTACAAAATTTCTTAGTTTTGAAAGAGAATAAAATTGAATTTAGTATTTGCAGTATGTTCACAATTTAGTCACATGTGACTTTTCTAAATCAATATTTTATTTTCAGTCAGTGATTCCCATTCCTTGACTTAGAGCAGCAGTATTTAGCAAGTCATAAGAGTGAATATGATCTGCTTCTGTCTCTAAAACGTTTTTTTTTTAATACTGGTATGAAACAACTCATTTGTGGAAGTGTATTTTTTTAATCAGTCTCCTGCCTGAAATAATTTGCAAATTTTCCACGAAGTGGCAGTTTTAAAAATTCATTAAAAAAAGCTCCCTGCTATTCTTACATAAAGAGTCCAGTTTCATTTGACAGATGAGAACATTTTAGGCAGTATGATAGCTATGCACCTGGGAAGATTGAACTTCTGCGGTTACATCAGCTGGGCTGTTGGGATAGCAGATGAAGAACAATGGTTTGAAACATCTGAGAGGAGGATTAGAAGTGCTGCCCTGCCCTGCCTTTTGCGTGGGGCTGTATAATTGGCAGGTTTTGTCTTTTATCATAAATAAAAAAAGGGCAAACCTCAGTCTGGATTATGCTAAGACATTCTATCTAAATATGATCAATAACATTAAAATTGGTCTTTAGCATTAGAATTTTTTGAAAAAACATAATAATAGGGAATAAAATTGAAATAAGTGGAACGCAAAATATCTGTAGCATTGTACTCATTTCAGTTCATGATACATAAGACAACAAGGTTTTGATCGACATGTTCTATCAGTCTTTAGTGCCACTACTTAACTAATTAATATATTTATCCTCTATAAATATAATTATATTTAATATTATTCTTCTCTATAATAGTATAATATAATCCTCTAGATCCTCTATACAATATATAATTTATATATTTATAGTTTAATTTTTATATTGTACTTATTTCAGGTAATGGTTCAAGGATATGTTAACTCTGTCCAGCATATATATATTAAAAATGCTTATAGTTAAGGTGAGAATATTAACAACTACTCATTTTTAAAATCTTACTTCAAAGAACTGCCTATTTCCAAATCCCTCCACTTTGTTCAGATTGTGAAGAAGTGCTGTGGCAAATACATATTATTTGCTGTACAGGCCCATGGAAGAGATGGCTTAACTTCCTTTTACAGAAGGAACTGACACGTCCGGGTAGCTCAAAACTCATTCAAAAGCATATTCTGGAACAGCTAATTAGGGTCTTGAGTCAGCCTTTTTCATTGCTTCCCTTTTAAAATTTCAGTATATACAAACATGCAAGCATAAATACAAAACACTGCAAATGGTAGCCATACATTACATCTAATTGGATGAACCAAGTTAAAGGCATGATAAATTCAAGTATAAGCACTACAGTTGTAATTAAAAATACAGTCATGTTTCATTCCTGTTTGTGTAGGACTTACTGCTGGATGTGAGGTCTGAGATGTTTTCTTCAGTGTAGATGTCCTCGAAAATGCAGTTTCTCTTGAATGGAACTATCCCTTCTCATATAAAACTGCATTGGCATGTATTAACAAAATTTCTTGGAATGTTTTTTTTTTCTGTTCTCTACAGCAAGTGCATTACTGCTGTTTGTTCTCTCTCTTAGTTCCATCTACCCGAGAATAAAGGAGTACTTTGTTTAATGAGTTTTGTTTGAAAAACACTCAGTAAGGGAAAGCAAAGAGATTATGGAATAAAACAGACAGAGGCCCTTAGTCCTAAATACATAATGATGTTCAGGTTCTATGATGAAAAGTGTGAACAGTGATTAAACAAAGTAAAATCTTGAGAATCCAGAAACTGTAGACTTATAGAGTGGGGGAGGAAATCATTTAAATTGCACTGAGAGCCAAAGAGTTTTTTTGTTTTTCAGTTGTTGTTTTTTTCATCACAGATAATCTTATTAAAAGTTTAAATTTCCTAGAAAAAAACTGTGCAATTTATTTTAATTTGTAATTGAAACAGCAGGGCATTTTTCTTCAACTGCAGGCTTTATTTATCTGTTCCTGATAGCTTTAGCCTTCCGTAGGTCATCTTATAACTTATGACCTTTGTATGAGGCTGTATAAAAGAATGAAGGAATAAAGCTACTAATAAAGGTTATATGGTAACTGCAGCACATTGGAGAAGTGGGCTTGACAAGTTGGTGTGCGAAATCAAGAAGTTAGGAGAAAAGTCTTGCTCATTGCAGCAATGATACACCCATAGGTTCTGTACCTGACTTCTGGTTTCCTGTGATTCTCTTTGTGTGAGCCCAGTGTGAATGGAGTTATTACAAAGCTGTTCTTACCAGAAATTACTGCTGTTAGTGAGTGGTGTAGTTACTTTGCGCTGGAAGTGAACCAAAAGTAAACTCTTGTATAGGAACAGGTTTGCTCTGAGATGCACATGTCTGATGTTAGACTTAATATTTGTCTGTAGTAGATAGATAAAATGCTGCTGTTGAACACTTGGTTTGTGAAAGTGCTGGCTTAGAACTATCTCAGTAGGATCTCAAGCAGTCTGTTTTAATGAAGTTGTAATATGTTCTGCTTAGGTTTCAGTTCCCTATGAGTAAATTGCAGCCTGAGGAAAGGTTATGTGGGTTTGATTTTAATATAGCCCTGTCCCAAGATACATGTATTGCCCATTATGAGACTTTTATTGTCAACAATTAGTAAAAACTGTCTCACTTGAGTTTATTCTGATTTAAAGTGTTGATTTCATTAGCAAGGCAGCAGACTTGCCCGGATTAAATTGTACTCTGTCATGTGTTCCTCCCACCCTACCAGAACATAAATCTTCATTGTACAGATACACTAAAACAGTAAGGGATGAATAGTTGCTGTACTATTGACAGTTCAGGATAGATCAATTGAATGATTTTCATATTCATTACTTTGTAAGATTTGAGTGCTATTTTGTAAATATTTTTAACATACTTGGTGGGGTGAAAAGTGTTATTCATAAAATTGTCATCAAATTGACTTGTGTATTTTAAGTAAGCTTTCATAATTCTACTCTTTATTTTATGCATATTAAAAAGGTTAAGGAAAAATAGCATGTATAATTTTAAAGGAGTGACCAATTACAAGTGAAAAGTTTTCCCCTATATCTGTTGCTATAGTAACCAGGCAGCTTTCCTGGGGTCCAAAGAAAACAGTGTCTATAATGGAACTGAGAAGTGCTGTGTTTTGTTTCAGAATCAGAAATTATTGCCCACTGGCCTTGAGATTGCAAATTGAGCTGTTTGGCTCTGAAGTGGTACACTGCATCTAGATTGTGTTCTTTTCTCCTTCAGAAATTTTTGTTAAAGACACAGTTCTAACTCCCAGAGAGCCCTCGTTTCTCATGAGCAGTTCTGCAAAACTGAGGTGACTAGGAGATGCCACAGGGTCTCTGGTTGTTTTCTTTCTTACCCCTAATTTTGTGGGGGAAATACCTAGATTTATTTCTTGACAATACACAAATGCACGTGTAAATAAGCCCTTAGTACATGTGAAGTATGTATTTTCTCTGTTCAAAAAGATTAACTTTTCTTACACTTAGTGTGAACACAAGTTTTTTCTGTATTCCTATGGTCTTTCTCATAGGTAACAGCATCCTGTGGCAAAGGCAGAAGCTATGAATACTTAAAAATTAAAAATCTGCTGTGGAAAATACATGTATGTGCATTTCACTGCAGATTCCATATGTCAAGTTTTCTTTGTCACCTGATTTTTAAGTAAGTTCTTGTGCTTCACATTTTAGTAATTTTAAGTGTTTTTTCTGCCTTATTCTTAACTCTAGCTCTCAGAAAAGGTGGACAAGTAGAGAAAAAACATTCAGTAACATAAACTTGAGATCAGTAGTGCTAATGCTGGAAACATGCTCTGTTTCTTTTTTTTTCTTCATCAGCACCATTAATTGGTATTTTCTTTCCTTTCTCTAGCCAGTGTTTTTGTTCAGCTTTGTAAGTTCTGTCTACATGAAAAACCTAATGTTGTTTGGATTTTATGATTCTGTTGAAATATAGTACTTTGTGCGTTGAAGCAGTTGTACTGCGTAGATGTACTTGACAGCTGAGCTGTTCCCACTGAAAGAACAATTTGGATGGATAGTACCTTTGTGTCAGAAGAATATGTCCACATCAGAGGTTGCTATGAGCAGTTTTGGTTGAAGCAGTAGGAAAAACCTTTCAAGTACCCCCGTGATCTGGGCTATCTCAATTGGTACACTGAGTGTGTGCTTAGAGCAGCAGCTGTTCTTTAGCCTGTGTGTGTCTCTTATTTCAATCAGAACTAGCACATCTTCAGTTCAATGCCAATTGAACATCATCTGTTCAATTGGCATTCATAGAACAGAATCTGTTCTATGAATGCCAATATTGGTTGTCAGACCTTTTAAAAAAATGAACGATTGTCCATCATATTAGCAGACTCTTTTAATAAGAGACTGAATATCTTTTAAAATCCGGTACTTAAAAATTTTTAGTCATTCAGTACCAGTACTTGTACAAATTGTACAAATTTTCAGTGTGCTCTTCCACAGAATGTTTTCCTTTTTATTGTTGTTAATATTTAGTTTGGAAGAGAAACTTCTTTATTCATTGCTGTGCAGAACTGGATTTTTAGCCCAGCTTCTGTTTTTTAATACAGAAGTCTGAATTCAGGGCATTTCTATATAATACAGTGTCTCTGTACTTGCATCTCATATAGATATATACATATAAAAACCATAAAATGTGCACATATAACCTCAGTCTCTTTTCAGACACAGGGAAAGTGACTGTTCTGTCAGCCAAGCTGATTTTAGAACTATAAAAGAATATATACAAACTTACCTGTGTGGAATCATTCAAACATAACTTTGGATTAAGTGTGATACACAGTTTAAATACAGAGTTGTCTGGTCACTTAACATGAGTGCAAACTTAATTCTACCTACTATTCCTTTAAGTAGGCTAGCATTTTAATAGTATGTTGAAAAGTAATTCCTTGGCTTACATTTTAGAAAAGCCCTAGAGCAACAGAAAACATAACAGGGAATGGGTTTGATTTCTAATTATAATACCAATTTTCTCCAGCTGCCCTTCAGCCTGTATATCCAATATTGTCTAATTTGTGTATTATGTCAGAATTGTCTTGTGGAAGGATCTGAAGACAGAAGTGCTAATTACTTTCCAGATTATATGGAAGTTGCTTTAGATGGAGGAAGTGCCATGGGGAAAAAAGAACCAAGTACTAATGGCATTTGAACTAATTGGAAATATGTAGATAACTAAGACTAAAATTACGTAGGGCCTTGAAAGCTAAATCTTTATATCTTTATATTCAATACTACAGCACTGGTCACTGCACAGCTGTGTTACCTGTCGCAATAATGTCTTCCTATCTTGTGCCGGTTTTCTGATGTCTGGCCAGTTAACTGAGAAGTAATGTGTGCCAAAGGAATATGTGTACTCAAATTTATCTTTCTTTTCCATGTAGGTGGATGTGGCTGTGGTGCATTTCACTCCATTGGTGCAACCAAAGATACAGCAGCCGTTTGAGCTAGTAGAAAAAGTGGTTCGAAGTGTTTTCCAGTTTAGAAGAAAATACTGTTTCCGTGGACTTGAGTAAGGATTTTTAATGAAAAATTCTCAGATAATGTCTTTGTAAATGCATCAGCTACTAAATCAGTTAGCTATGCATTTGATTTCATTCCTTCCATTTTACATTTGTCATTATAGTTCATTAGATCTTTCCATTTCAGAATTTCTGAAGACAAATTCGGAGGTTAATATCTTTCTGATGTAATTATATAATAATTACTTGGCATTTTTTCTTAGTGCAGTTGAAGTTGTTAAAATCACTAGAATAAATTGGTCATCTTTTCAGTATTTTGTCTGTCTCAGAAATGAAAACAACCCAGCCCAACCACAAAAATTACTGCATGATTAAGTTAAAAACCAAAAGTATCAAAATTCAGAATCAAAGATGGCAGTGTGAGGAGGTTTTGATGGAAGTTTGAAGAGAACATCATCTGTAGCAAATTTTACTTATTTGGGGATAATGTCAAAAGGTCAAATTCTTGTTTCTGTGCTTGCCCTTTTATTGAGCTCTTACTGGCTCTTTTAAAATCCCCATGTCTTACTGAGGAAATTTACTAGGTTCTCTAATGTGAGAAACCTGCAGTCTCTTCGCCAGAGTTCCTGTTAAAACTCCAACATAGCCACGTGTCTGACTTGGTATGGGCAAAACCCAGCACTCCGCACTGCAGAATTTGTGACAGATGCTGTTAGGACTAGAAGGATGCTCCTGCAGCTTGGGCTAGCTGAGTTTGTTGGGCATAGTTTTGGTGTGATTCAGTCTAGAATTAGAGTGGATGCCACCTTACTGAACTACAAGCCTTATATGTCACTATTTTGAAGGTGAACAAAGAATTTTGCCTCTAGTTTTGCTTCGGTTTTTTTTCTTGAGGCCATGAATGCTACTGATGTCTGGGATGCAGACATTGGATCTAAAATGAGTACTGATTTGCCTGTGTTAAGGCTTGAGTATGCATTTGGAGGTGTTTAGAAAAAGAAGTATCCAAAGTCTAGATTGATTTGTATTTGATTTACAGCGTGGTGGTGGCTTTCTTTTTTTCTTCTTTTATTTTGTGTGTGAAAGAATGTTTCAGCGACAGTGTAAGCAGAAGCTGTGTGCAATCAGCCTATATATGTTACGTACAATATTTTTGCCAAAGCTGAA